AGGCCCTTTATATATTCTCTCTCTCCATCTTCCTTGTAGGCTCCCTTCAGGTACTGGAAGGCCAGAATTAGGTCTCTTCTCCAGGCTAATCCTGGGATGCTCCCTCAATACCCTGCGTGACCTTGAGCTAGTCAGCCTGTCATCCACCCACATCTCCTCCCGGTTCTCTGGTGGGTTTGTACAGAGCTGCAAAAAAGCAGCAATCCTACAGTTACTGGGGGCTGTATCACCCCAGAGAAATCTCGCAGCTCTTTTCTCTGAACATTGTTGTTTTTGCCACTTCAAGTGAAGTGATGCTGTGTGAAAGGACGGGAGTTGCCCAGTCCTTCTCCTCAAAGCCCTGGCCCTGTAATTGCTGTCAAATTAGTTCTGTTCATGCTGCAAGAAAAATATACTTAAGGCTTTTCTTTTACAGAACCGTACTGGACATCTTTTTCCTTTATATACAAATAAAAATCTAATGACAAGAAAAATTGAATAGATGACAAACAAGGAGCTTGCATTTCAAAGGACACAATCAAAGAGCTGAAGCCTTCAACTGCAATTCTCTTCAGATTGCTCAGTAAACAAGTCAAATTGTCAGGACTGAGAGTGTTTTAAATCTATCACTCTCCAAATAGAGGATAATATAAAAAAATCCAATAGTACACCGTGATTGTTGTTCCAGAGGAAACTGCCACCAAACATATCACTTGTACCAACTGTTCTCAGAAATGTTTTTATATCGTTCACTTTGATATACAGCCTGCTACTTGGGCAAGTAGAAAGTGTTGCCAAAGCTTGCTGCTTGCTTTTTCAGGGACTTTGTGATCTTTCTGAGCTGTTAATACTAAATATATATATTTATAAGTACATGGTTAATAATAGTTTTTGTACTAAAAAAGTACCTAGTCACTGAAACTGAAGGTTGATAAATAGAAACAGCAACACACATTGGGTAAAAAAAACCAAACAAAACAGCCAAGAGCAGCATCCTCCTTCGGCCATCCAGCTGTCAATGGGTGTATGGAAAGTCACTGCCAATAGCACAGGAGGTATGAAGGGATTTCCCCAGAAAGGCAGGTGAAATCAGCTAAAACTGTACTGCCTAAAACAGAGGAGATTGAGAAACAGAGGATATTAATGCATGAAGTGATAAGCGGAATGGAAAACTCAGAAGCAATTTGAATATCATTCCTTCTATAAGCTACATAGGAAGGTGCCTTGTGGAATGATCAGATGAGAGGTTTTAAATTAAGCGAGAGGAACTAGTTTTTAGAATAACACATAATTTAACAGAAGTCATGGCTATAAAAATGTAGAAGGGAGCCTACAAGAAAGATGGCAAGATGCTTTTTGCAAGGCCATGTAGTGACAAGACAACGAGGAATGGGTTTAAATTGAAAGAGAGTAGGTTTAGATTAGATATTAGGAAGAAAATCTTCCCTGTGAGGGTGATGAGGCCCTAACATAGGTTGCCCAGAGAAGCTGTGGCTGCCCCATCCCTGGAAGTGTTCAAGGCCAGGTTGGATGGGGCTTGGAGCAACCTGGTCTAGTGGAAGGTGTTGGAACTAGATGATTTTTAAGGTCCCTCCCAATCCAAACCATTTTAGGATTCTAGGATTCTATGAAATACAAATATATCTAAAATGCGACCAAAATAATGGGAGAACCATCCACAACACTTTCCTGCTCTACAGTTAACACAAAGACTATCAAAACACAACAAGCAAGCTGGCACCTGATGGGTTACTAGAGGCAAATGTGACCAATCCATTTGAATGTATCTGTCACGGAGCTCTGCTTGCTGTAAATTGTGGCTGGCACAGCTGGTGACTGCATGTAATCATCATTTTTTAATTACATAAAACAATGCTTTGGAAAAAAAACCACAACAAATTAGAACACAAGCCTAAAATCAGAGCCCAAACGTTTAGAGGTGAAGTCATGTGAAGCTGACATGGGGGATTGCCATCTGGTACCGTTTAGGGGGCTGTTGGTGCCTGTGCCTTCCCTGCTGCTGTTACATGGGCTGAAGAGCACAGGAACCACCCTCACCAGGCCACTGGTTACAACAGCAACCAAACAAACCACCATGCAAGCAACCAGAGGTAAAAATTAACAGGGGAAAAATATAGAAATCCTCACATTTGAGAGCATAAGTTCTCTTTATCCTTCTGCTCTTCCCGTTATAGACTCATTTTCTGGGGCTGCCTTCATTCGTCAGACGCTGGGCATCGGTGCAGCACCACCCGACACCGTACCTGCTCCATCCCTCCCACTGGGAGAGATGCTGGTGAAATCCAGAGCAGCAGTCACGACTTTCCTGGGGCTGGGAATGTGCAAGGCACCACCTCCTGCTCACACCCAGAAGCACTGGGTCCAGGAATAGCTTTGTACACCCAAGTAATGTCCTCTGGTTTCCACCACGCTGTGTCCTTTACATCAGGTCTGAACTAAGGTCACTGTGCTCTCCAGGAGAGAAGAACAATATACACCAGTGTCCTTCTGTCAGAATCAAACTACAGGGGAGTAACAGTACAGAGCAGTTCTCACCTTTTCCCCATGGGATAAAATAGTGGGTACAAAATCCAGCTGCAAACAGCTGAAAACCATTCTTTGACTATTTCAAGCTGACTTAATACAAATGATAATATTTTCATATAGCAGTGGTGTGTTTTCAGCAGAAGTAGGAATTAATGAGCACCCTGAACCTCTGTGTATCTGCAGCCCGGGATTACACAAAGCTGCTGTGTTATATTGTAATTTAGTAAGTTATATTGTAATTTAGCTAACTCTACAGAGAGATACCAGCATAATACAGGATTAAACTCCAGCTTGAGTTCTGAAAACACTTCCTGTCTTTAAAGCAGTCTGTACAAAACTCTTGCAGCCAAATTCACCCAAACCACCCGGGATGGCTGAAATCAAAGGCTGCAATCTCTCCCCAGCTTGGTCTAACCTGGAATATTCTGGATAGGCTTGGAAACTTTCAAGAAAAACAAAATAAAACAACTAACACTTTGGCTGCTGAGAATCCCACCAGCACGTTACATTCTTGTTCTGGAGGGGGAAAAATACACTGAAACACACCAGAAACTTATCTCTGCTGTTACAGAAGGGTAGCATAAATAAAGGGTAGAGGGTTGTTCAGTCAAATCTATTGAAACATAACCAGTCAGTTCTTCTACAGGTGGGGAATAAACTGTCTCCATTTTACCAGTGTTTTGTTCAGATCCAGCAGAAGAAAATCAGCAAGCTGGTGGGATCAAAGGAGTACAGAGGCCTTTTATCCAACCCTGGCTCCTGCAAGTGCATTCCTTGTACAATCCTATCACCCACTCTGATGTTCATATCCCATCCACGCAGTCGTGAAGTTCTCTGGAGTGGAGAAGACCATGCCAGGGAATATTCAAAAAGCAGAAGCAGATCTGTTTTAGCACAGATCCAACACAAATCCTCAGGGAGTACCCTGATGATTCCATTCCCAACAAAGCCACCAATACCCAATCATGTCAAACCACGCAGCGATACAGACCCACCAGCTTCTTCTTACACACCACACCCTTCATGAAAAGATTAACTCTTAATAGGAGTCCAGAACTTGGCATCTTCTATCACAGCTGACATAGCAGCATTTCTTCACAGGTCTGTCTGACACAGGAAAAATAATGAGGAGTAGAAGCAACAGAGGGCCTGTGAAATCTTGCACCTCGTGGATTATTTTTAAAAGGTGTTTCTGATAACACTGTGCTGGTTTTAACATCTATTTTCAGGATCACAGGCCAGCAGCTTTTCTCCAGCAAGCACGAACATACTGGTCTGCAATATGACCACCCCTGAATTCCATGGATTTCTTTGTAATGCCTGTCTATTCTTGCTTCTACCAAGATATGCAGCCAAGTGTGCCAACCAGACTGTGGTTTCAGTGATTTTCTGTAAATCAGGCTGCCACAAGCCCGAGCAAAACCTTTCACAATGCCCTATAAAACAACAACAACAAAATTAATATCCTCTTTGTGGCAACATTCACACAACACTGGCAAACTCACACACTTGTCTTGTAAGCCACCTTCATTCACAAGTCCAAGCACAGATGGCTTGCACGGATTTGGGACGCATCTTTTCCACTGACCTAATTGAAGCAGGATGGCAGCAGCTCCAACAACATGTTTTGCTGGATTTTTTTCCCCCCCTGTAGCTGTGTCACACACTTATAACTGCAGTGAGTCCTTAATATAGCAGTGGGTAAACAAACACCACACAAAGCAGCTTGCACAAGAGGGACGTGGAGGGCTCGGAGACAGCTCCCTCACATGTTCTAACGAGTGCTCACAAAAAGAATGTTCCAGGCAGTGTTACATTTCTGCCTAAGCCTCTTAGAGCATCACTTTCCCTTTGAACGCTTGATAATCCTAATTTGGGACTTGTCAGAGGTAAACAGCATTTGCCTTTGCAAACAGGTACTAACCAAGCGACACAGTGCCCCTCATTTCACAATTAAAAAGCAAATGTCAGCACATTATGTTCACAGTTACTATAAATAATAGTTGGGGGGGAGCAAAGAACTTTTCAGAGTAACTTATCTCCTATATTCTATGACCTCAAACAAGCTTCTGATATCCCTGCTGTGGCAACACAGATGATCCCATGCAAATCTTAATCACACTACCAGTAAAGAAACTAAATAACAAAATTCAGCATCTTCTAAACCAGCAGTCTGAATATAACACAGAGCCTGTAGTGGTTTTATTCCATATCACCACTAACGAGGGAATGAAAATGTCTGGTATAACTGTCATAGGGTGACTCTCCTCTTCCAAAAGCAATAACAAAAAACAAATTGTTTTTAGAATCATAGAATGTCCTGAGCTGGAAGGGACCCACAAGGATCACAGCTTAACATGCATCTGCTTAGAAATCCGTTTCTCTCTGAAAACTGATCCTCACTCCATTACTGACAGCTTCTCCTCAGGGAAAGGAAAAAAAAAAAAAAAGAGGTAAATTAAAGGTGAATTAACTTCAAGATAAGAATGAACACCTGATACAAGGCAAAAATGAAGGAATTCAGCATTTGGCTAGAATGAATGTGAACACAAATCCAGGATTGCTTTAAATAACATTTAACCATTCTTTGAGACCGAAAATAACAATCATACCATGAGATAAGAGGATTTAAGTTTTCTTTTACATGCATAACTCCTTAATTTTATAACCTGGAAAGCAGCAGCAAGTCAGCTCTACTGTCACTTCTCTATGGGTGACACTCAAAAAAACCCCAATCTTAAGAAGAGCCACCTCCCTTATTGATTCTTATCAACAGGACAGTCCAGTATTTAAAAAACAACAGTATGCATCACCATGCCATGTTATCCCACAATTAGCAGATAACCCTTGGAGCAGACTAGGAGTTGATAGAATCTACAGGACAGGTTCTCCAGCAGAAGGCTGGAGCTCTGTATCAGCTCAGCCAAGAATTGTAGTCTTCCTTCTGTCCTCATGCACTTCCTCTGGCCTGTGTCTCCCCCTGTCCTTCCCAGCTGGGACACAGTAGCTTTTGCTTTTCTTCCTTCGCACAATCTTCTGATCTTAATCAAGTCATCTCTTCCTTCTCTTTTCCTCAGCTTCCTGAACTCCCTCCTGTCCTCCTGCCAGTTTTCTGCTTTCTCCAGCCTAAACACAAAGTGGAGAACACCCACTGGAGTGCCTCTGCTTGCTGTACACACACTGCAGAGCAAAGCTGAGAGTGGCCTGGCCAGGTAGGATGCTGTTCACTCCTGCACTGTGGATGCTCTGGTGTGGGACAGAGATGAACACTTACTTGGGAGGAATGTGCTGCTGCATCACTCACCACTGTAGCAGGGGGTTTGCAGCACCAGGCAGAACTCACAGAAGACTGGCAACCCTGCTGTGCTGCCACAGATTTCTTGTCATCTCCTGGAGGGATCAGGGGTCCCCAGGAAAAGCAGCTTGCTCTTGTACAGAAAGCCCAAAGGTATGCTCAGCCAAAACCACATTGCCAGGTAAACTTTATTTATAAACATACAAACTCCTGAATTACTGTGCTGGAAAGCACAGGGACCACAGGCCCCAAAGACAGACCATCACCTCTTTGACAAGTATTACGAGGACAACTGTTGCAAACATTATTGATGCTTTTCTCCCTCTCCTTTGAAGGGAGAACACAGCTGAACATGAACTCCCCATGGCAAAGTTCTGCATGATCTTGTACCCTCCAATATGAGACAAGTTGCTGATTGCACTGAAGTTTTGCTATGCAGTGTCCAGAGCTCTTGGCCCAGCACAGCTTTATTGTCACAGTGCTCAGCTGACATGATTTAATGATTATCAGGAACACAAACTGTCCTGCCAGGGGAGCTATCTCCTCCAGATGGGAGGAGAAATACTTGACAAGGGACATGTTAAAAGTGGGGATTGGAAAAAAATCAGATTCCATCTTCCCTCTAATGACACCCTAAACCAAACAGTCTCAATGTCCTATTCTAAAATTATATTCTTTTCTTTTGCTTTTCTACTTCTCCTTCCAATTACCGCCCAAAGCTGAATTCCTATCAGGGAGTCCTCATATCTACTTCCCATTCAATCCTGAAACTGCCACAGTACAGTGGGGTTGGACTGTCCCCCACCCTGCCACAACAGCAGGGTGACATTTTCTGAACTGAATCCATTTAGAGGCTGTAACCACCTCTGGTTACACAGAGCAGCTTACATCACTGGCTTTAAGTTAGTTTTTCTTTGCCTCTTTTTCTTCAAGAGGCCAGGAAACCTGGATGTGATATGGCTCTAGTTCGTCTGGAGTGACATAGTCTGGAGCATTGGCCATCAGGTCTCGTCCCCTGAAGGATTTTGGAAATGCAATGACATCTCGGATACTTGGAGCGTCAACGATGAGAGAGATCAGCCTGTCAAGTCCTAGAAGAAGATGACAAATTAGTGAACCACTTGAGTTATGGCTCTATATTACTTCCTCTGAGTCAGAAAAATCAGAAAGATTGAGTAGGTAATATTACTGAGCTTGAAGAAAAAGAGTGAAGCAAATAAGGGGGGAAAAAAATTACTCTCAACGGGTAGCAGAGAAACAGACTTGCCTCGAGAGCAGAAATGCCGACCAAAATAAAGCCTTTCAATATTACACAAAGTTCTGCAACGACAGAGACACTGTCTTTGCAAACACAGCATAACAAAATTGGGGCAGCTAAGCGGCAGGACACTGTCAGGGCTCTGCCTGACCACTCAGAGCTCTTGGTCAACCAGTTCGGAAGGATTACAGCAACCGGGAGGAATTCAAAAAGAACAAGAGCCTCTGGGTGTCTGGATGGAGGGAAGTCACACTGAGAGACCACAGGTTAAAATGCCACCTCTGTTTTTTGTAGGCATTTTCGTTTGTTTTGGCATGTGTGGGGAGGGTGTTGTTGGTTGTTGGTTTTGGCATGTGTTGGGGAGGGGTTTTCCCCTCTTTTATTAAACCTCAAACTTGCAGCGTTCTAAGAAAAAAGATCCTGACATTATCTGAATTAGTGAGCAAAACAGGTAAGGGAGAAGGGAAGTGAGACTGAAGCAGAGGGCAAGGCTGTGAAACACAAAGTACCCCGTTGTCCCAGGCCTCCAGGCATGAAGTACAGGGATCCCGCTCTGGTTGCACAGGAATAAGAACAAAGATGACCTAATCTTGGTGACTAGACCTCTGTTTCCTTCCCCAAAGCTGCTGCAGAGATGGAAGCACCGTGTAAGCCCAGTGTTACCAGGCAGATGTGCCAAAATCAACACCTGAACAGCCACCTCCATCAGGAGGAGACAAGGCTTTTCCTATCAAGCTTGTTCCTGGGGTCTAGTATGCTAAAAAAAGGGCACAACACACCTGCATCTAGAGAGCTACTTACCTAAAGCAATTCCTCCATGAGGGGGAGCTCCTAATTCCAAAGCCTCAAGCAGGTGGGAAAGCACCTCGGAATCCTCCTGCAAAATTACCCAAGTGTCACTGGACAAGCAATGCTCTTCCTATCAGCAACACAAGATGAAGATATAATTAAATCATCCATTGCTCAGGGCTAGGAGTTATGTTTCTTTATCTGAGAAGCACATGAGTGTTTCTTTCAGAATACTAAATTAACATTTAAACTAATTAGTCCTTTAAATCTCCAAGAGAACATTAGAGACATCTGTAGGTGTTACCTTCAGCACTTTCTCCAGCACAAAACGTTGCTGTTCTGCACTGTGAATTCTGATGGAGCCACCTCCAACCTCATTGCCATTCAGCACGAGGTCGTAGTGCTGGCTACGGACCTGCAGAGAGGAATGAACAGGCACCTCAGCGAGGCTGGGGCACAGCTGCATCCAACAACAACCTGCACAACAATGGCCAACACTCTGGGAATGAAGCCATGAAACACTACAATGCTGGTCTCTTGGGGTTATGCTGCAGTTCAGGTTCTAGTCCTGCTGGAGGTGTGGATTGCCTCTGACAGAGGTGGAAACAGCCCAAATCCTTTTGTAGGGATTAATCAAAACCTGAAGCAAATCGGATGGGTCAGAATATAAAGACTTCTCACCTTAGACAACTGTTTCCTATAAGCTCCTTTTGTCAGGGGTACACATGGATACTGCCACTCAGAGCAATGGGAAAGCCATCTCTTCCAAACAGACATGTACAGGATCACAGAATGGCTTGGGCTGGAAGGGACTTTAATGATCTTGTTCCAACCCCTTACCACAGGCAGAGGATACATTCCACCAGACCAGGTTGCTCCAAACCCCATCCAACACTTCCAGGGACGCCACAGGGATGGGGCAGCTATAGCTTCTTTGGGCAACCTGTGCCAAGGTCTCACCGACCTCACAGGGAAGAATTTCTTCCTAATATCCAATTTAAATCTACCCTCTTTCAGCTTAAAGCCATTTCCCCTTGTCCTATCTCTGCTTGCCCTTACAAAACATCCATCTCCAGCTCTCTTGTAGCTCATTTAGGCACTGGAAGGGGCTTTAATGTCTCCCTGGAGCTTTCTCTTCTCCATGCAGAACAACCCTAGCTCCTTCAACCTGTCCTCATAGCAGAGGTGCTCCAACCCTTTGATCATCCTAATGGCCTCCTCTGGACTCATTCCAACAGATCTATGTCTTCCTTGTGCAGTCAATTCCATGAAACAACATCTCTTTTTATACTAAAACCAGCTGCCACTTGCCTAGTTTTCCACTTGAGTTGCTGTAAAAGAGCCAGCACGGCAGGCATGAAGTTAGTTACCTTTGTGGGATCAGAATGGAGGAGGCTGGCATCTGAAGGATGTGGGGCAGTGAAGGGGTGATGAGCAGATTCCAGTTCAGTGGGATTCTCGGCCTTTGGGAGGAAAAGGGGGAAATCCACCACCCACAGGAAGTGAAAAGCCGTAGGATCACGGAGTGCCAGCCCAGCTGCCTCAAGGAGGCTGGCACTCAACAACCGCAGGCTTCCTAAGGCAGAGCACTGCAACAGAGAAGGGAGAGCATGAGACAGGGCAACTTCACCATCAGGGAAGTCACTCAAACACCAACCAGGCAAAGAGAATGTTTCATAAAGGCAGCATCAACTGTAATGCATTGTTGCCTTAAACACTTCTGCCTTGTATCCTGAAATATATCCCCTTCCTGCTGAGGCAGCAGCAGCTCCAGGGTTTGACAAGAAACAAGTAAGGAGCCTGAAAGTCCATTTTCTTCCAACTCTTCCCTCTTTGCAGAACTTTTTTAGACTAACCTCAAGCTCCACACATGTGGATTAACTGGAGGAGCACATGTAAGTTCTACACTTTGCAGACAGAGAAATGAAGGCACAGAGACAGAGTGTACAACAAAATTCTGGCTATCAAGCAGAGCACAATACCTTGTAATAAAACAATGTCTGGAAGGCAAAATCTGCTGGCAAGAAGGGTAGGGACAGAATTTCCCATCAGTGCTGCTAATAAGTCACCCACTTATGGGAGACAAAATTACCTAGTTGACCTTGTTTTCCAATCTGCTTGATGTTTTAAAAATTAAGTTAAGGTGAAGGAAAAGGAGGCACTGATTTGTTGCAGGGTGGTTTTTTTTTTTTACATTTCAGCCTTCATTTCAGTTACAATGCTCTCCCAGAATCTGACTGGGGGCAATAAAAATAATAGGTACATTTCATGCCTTATTTGCTGTTGCTATAGCTTCTGCTCCAGAGAAACAGAAAATTAGACGATGACCTATTTAAATAATAAGAAGAATCAGACTAAGGTCAGATAACATCAGCAGCAGCAACACTCAACTCACACAGCCAGCCAAGAAATGCCTCCTACCACTTGCTTGTGTTCACCAGCTGCCAGCAGCACCACATCATCCACCTGCATGTTCAGTGCTTGGATAAGCTCCAGCTGCTGCTTCTCACCAAGAAACTTGGTAAGCAGGGACTTCAAGCTCCCATCAGGCCTGCAGATAATTTCCATGATTTCCTGAAGAATGATAAGAGTATGTTCAGTGCAGTGCTGCCCTCTCTTGCCCTGAAGCATCACATGGTCAGGCACTGACTCTCAGCTATTAAAAACTGCTCTTCTACCTTCCTCTGCCCTTAAACACACTTTGTCATTCACCCATTCCAATAACTCAGCAGCATTTCTGTCTCACCTGGTTAAACTGGGATTTTGCAGACTCCTTTAATGACTCCAAGTCTTTATTTTTAAGATACCTCTGGGGAAAGAACAAGAGAGGACAGTAAAGATCAGCAAAATCCAGGGAAAGCTTGATTAGGATTCAAATTACTATGTTTCCAAACTTCTCAAATGCTTTTGCTTCTAGTACAAGTTCTTATGAGGGCTGTGGAACAGGACAGGGCCCACAGCACTGGGCTGTAGCTGGGTGTCTTCTCCAAGGGCTCCTTTCAGGAAGAGATCCCTCTAGGTGTACAGATAAATGTACCTGGTCAGTAGGGTCAGATCACACCAACCAAGTGCCTCCAGCCTGCAGAAAGCAGGTTACTCCACCACACTGTTGATGGGGAAGGCAGAGCTCAATTTGGAGGAACAGAGAGAAACCAACTGGGCTGACTCTCACATGCAATGAAACACGGTAAATGAGGACCTGAATCCAGATCTTAATTTTTTTCATCTACTCTAGTGTTCAGAAAGGCTCAAGATTCCACTTTTGTGTTGCTCAAATGCACACCTCAGTGCCCTCTGGTGGGAAGCCACTAACTTGCACTTTGTGTTAAAATGGAGTCCCAAGAGAAACCAGGAAGTCCTATTCCCAAAATAAAACTCATTATTTAGTGGATTTATTTTTTCCATACTGTTCAAGCTACAAAGATGCCCACAGCCAGAATTAAATCTGCTTCCCTGCCAAAATATCTGGCTGTGTCAAACAATCTTCTACATCTATTGTCAGCCTTGGATTTGGTCCGTGACATCCTCAAAATAAGACACGAATTGTGCCCACAAATGCAGCTAAAGGAAACATGAGAAGGACTTCTAACCCCCTGACCTTTCTCTGCCTAGCCCAGAGCTGTGCCATACCCAGCCCTGTTTCAATCTCTTGCCACAAGGCACAATATATTACTGAGATGCACATCAAAAGGCTGACAAAAAGCAAGGTGAAACCCCAAGAGGATTCCCTGTCTTCAAAGGATCTTGCAGCTCGCTCCATTCTCTTCTTCCCCTTCCTAAGGATAATACAGTTTTCCCATCACCTGATCACCTCCATTCTAACACCACTCAGTGCAACCTGACATTGATTACAAACAATCTCAAGTTCCCTGAAGGACACCAGAAACAGCAAGGAACATTTCCATACTAACAAAGAAATTCAGATTGGCATTCTATTTATTTCACATAAACCACAAGCAGGAACGTCAAAGCATCACTTACCATTCCCTGAGGGATACAAATGGCTCTGATGGTGCCACGTGGGTAACTGAGTGCATTCTGCACAAACTGAATGTCTGATAGTCGTAAAACATCACTGATATCCACTATCTGAGAAAGGACAGATGGGAAAAAGCCTTGGTAGTAGGAACATGAAGCAAAAGTCTTGTACCTGTGTCTTAACACCTTCCACACTATTCCCTTTTAGGAGCTTTTGCTCCTAAAACACTCAAGATGCATTGCTTCCTGACAACACATTATCTTGAAAATAAAATTTTATTCAAACATATGTTTTCTACAGCCAACTAATCAAACTCACTCTTCTCCAAGAGATGATTACCTGTACAAAGGGGTCTGATGGGACAGACTCCTTGGGTAAATTACAGCACTCAGAACTCCAGCCAATCATGTATACATGATGTAAAGATTATTAAAAGGCTAACAAAAAGGAAAAGCTGCAGGTTTCCAGTGGGCAAACCCTCACCTTCATACCAAAGCGAGTGTCTGGTTTATCAGTCCCATACTCAGCCAGTGCCTCCTCATATGTCATGGAAGGGAAAGGAGTTGTAATGGAGCCTCTTTCCTCAGGCCAGGAATATTGCAGGAGGCCCTCTATCAGTCTCTGGATCCCAGCTTGATCTACAAATGACATCTCTATATCTATCTTAAAAGAGGGAACAAGAGGGAGAATTCAACATTAGCTATAGGTTTTGCTTTCACACTGCAACTTGTAGAAGTTCCTGAGCACAAAGGTGGCAAAACAAGAAGCAATACATGACATGACATCACAGCACAATTGCATTAGGTTGGGGATGTGATTATGATCTCCCTACAGCCTGATGACTCAGGAAACCACCTCCTCAGAGAGCCCAATGAGGTAATGACAAAAAAGACATAAGAAGCAGCCTTGAATGAACCAGGCTAACTCTGCCTGGGATCTCAAGGCTGAGGAATGGGATGCCTGACCCAGCAGGACAGAAAGAGATTGCATCATCAAACACAAAGGGCTGTGTCTGTGAAACATGCACCAAACAACTCTGTACCCCCCCAGGCAACACCAGACTAGCACAAACCAAGCCTTCAGAGGGGGAAACAGCTAAAAAAGCCATTTGGGTTGAGGCAGCAGCACGAGCTGGTTACCTGTGTGAATTCAGGCTGCCTGTCAGGCCGTGAACCCTCATCTCGGTAGCAGCGAGCAACCTGGAAGTACCTGCAACAGCACTATTACTTAGATAACAATTTAAAGTACCCCAAATTACAGCCACAATCAATATTGTGGCTATAGAATTGATCATAAAAGAGAGAATGAGGAAAAAAAAAAAAAAAAGAACAGAGAGAGTGTTCTGTTCCCTTTGCAGTACCCGATCTTTGTTCTCATCCCTTGAAAAGCATGACATTTTGAGTGGCAGCAACTGCATCAGCAACTGTACCCATCTCCAACCATATCTTCCAGAGGCATGTGGAGGCTGCCAGGCAAGCTGGTCCCCAACAGCACTATACTCAACTCTTTTTCACCTCCCTCTCTACTAACAGCCATGCAAAATTCACAGACAAGACCTGGCCTGCAGTTCACTGTGTGAAGAACTGCCTCCCTCTCCTTCAATTTTATTTGAAGAAGAAAGCCCAGTTAAAAACTTGGTACTCGAGCACCCTGAGAACATGCTTTCCCTGTCTCAGTTATGCTCAGCAGCCCAGTCTTGCCTCAATTAGTTCTGTAGGTTACTCTTGGAGAGGCTTTTTTCACACACTGCATTTTCCACCCTTGAGGCAGGCTGTGCTTCAGATCAGGTTTGCTATTAAAGCAGCAGTGAAGATTTCAGCCTTCCAACAGGATACATTTCCTCTGACTGGAAGGGCAAAAAGCCTGGCCTAGCTGGAAAGTGTCAAGTACTTAAGGACTCCTCTTCAAAACACAAAACCCTTGGCAGTAAGTTTTTTGGGGGAAGTACCTAAAACTTCACAGATCAAAGCAAGTCAACCCTGGACAGGACATGCACAGAACAGGACTCCAAGAAACTCTCACCTGTCCAGGCCTCCAACCATGAGGAGCTGCTTGAACTGCTGAGGACTCTGTGGCAGGGAGTAGAACTTGCCTGCTTCCCTTGAGGGCACAAGGAATTCTTTGGCTCCCTAAGCATCAGAAAGAAAATTGACAGAGTTCAACAAGTAAGTGGCCCCAATTCTTGACAGAGCACAGACTGGAAGTGCAAGGGGAAAGGACCTACTTCCCCATTATGAAATCCCACCTGTGAGGAAGTGGCTGTACATTACACTTAAAAATCTGTTAACCAACTTGGTCCAAAGTATCCCAAAGGAGAATTCTCCACCTCCTGGTCTGAGAGACTAATGCATAATACACGGATAATACCCCACCCAAGATAGGGGTTTAAATGCAGGAACTCCACATTCGCTGCATCAACAATTCCTCAGCTACAGCTCTCTTCTCTGTGACTATTTTTGAAGTGAAAGAAAGGAACATAAATTCAGAAATTAAATTTACTTGAGTATGGCAACTGCAATAACCTACTGGTTAAGAGATAAATGCTGGGAAGACAGTGCTTTAAGGAAGTTTTTTGGTTTTATAATCCCAGGACAGACTTGCATCCAACACATGCTCTACAAGACAGAAGCTTTACTCATCTGAAGGTTCAAAACTAAGACACAAGTTTTCACCTCTCCCCTTTCTATCCCTTTACTTTTAAAAGGATCCACGGATCATATCAGAAGTTAAAAGAGCTGTTACTTAGTGAGGGAACAGCAATGAAGGCTGAGTGGCAACTGACAAAAATTCCACCATGAACTGCCTGTGCAGCTGCAGGAGGCCAAAAAGCATCACATACATACCCCAGGGGTTCTTTTAAAGAGCGTTGGAGTTTCTACATCCACGAACCCTGGAACAAACACATGCTTCAGACATGGAATATGCTGAGAGCAGGAAGAACTAATATGACAGAGTAAGCTCGAGTAGGGTCAGTCAGCCAAATGGGTCATCTAGCACACCATGGAGCCTCTCCAAAATCTACAGGCTGCTGCTTCTAAGAATAATTCCTGTAATGACAGATTTAAAGGCTCTGAGCTACCCTGATGTCCTGCCAGAACTGTTGATGACAGAGGACTCCAAACAGGCTGAAAAATTGTTCATTCTCAATAGGCATTGCTTTTCCAAAAAGGTGTCTGTGTTTAAAATAAGCAAAAGCCCTAAAACAGATCCATCCCTCTGACATGCCTCAACTGGGTGACCAAAAGAGGGAAACTACTTGCAAAGGACCATTTCTCACTGGAATCAGCTAATTTGAAACAACTGGCTTGCAGCATGCCAAGAGATTTCAACATTGTTCTTCAGGCCTGGCAACAACCCTCTAAAGACCCCAGCACAAGCAGACATGTCCTTACTAAGTGGGACCGGTTTGGAGTAGTTGGCTGGGATTTCTCCCAGCAGCAGGAAACAGCAGAAAGGAGAGTTAAAATGTTCTTTGCTGCACACTGTTGTTCAAGTAGATGTCTCACCATGGAGGTTGCACAGATACTCCCTCATCCTCATCACCACCCGTGACCTCAGGCGCAGGTTGTGCTGCAGCTGGAGGCTGCGCAAGTCCAGGTAGCGATACTGCATCCGTAAGGCCTCCGACTTCTGGGGAGGAGAGAGAACTGGGATTCAGAGACAAGACTCAAACTGCATGTCCCATGCAGCTGCTCCCAAAGACACAGGAAAAAAGGGAGAAGCTAAAAAGGAATGCTCCTCAATTGCCACAAACCAACCACTGCCTGTAACCTACACAAGCATCCACCGCAGAGTGTTTTCATGCACGACAATCACTGTAAAAAAAAAACCCAAACTGCCCAGAGAAGCTGTGGCTGCCCCATCCCTGGAAGTGTTCAAGGCCAGGCTGGATGGGGCTCTGAGCAACCTGGACTAGTGGAAGGTGTCCCTGCCCATGGCAGGTGGTCAGAATGAGACGACCTTTATTAAGGTCCCTTCCAACTCAAACCATTTTTTGATTCCATAATTCAAAAAAACCCAGACATTTGCCATGATAAGAGCTGCCTCTTTTGTTTCAAACTCAAAGAAAAAGCCAGCATAGCCCCATTCTTTCACTCTTCCCTTTACTAACAGTTCTTACACTGACATTTTGAAATCTGGAATCATTCAAGCCTTGTTTTCTGCTTTGCTTTTAGAAATACATCCTCATAGGAAAAAAGGAGCATCTCTATTCTAAATATCATCATTTCCCCAAAGCGAAGCTGGGAGAACCAGACTAAGCTCTCAGATGTTTTGCCATCAACACAGACAAATTCCCAGTTTATTGAAAAGCCATCACTTTGGGGGGAAAAAAAAAAAAGAAAAGAAAAAAAGAACAGACACCTTGATAAAATCCTTGATTTCAAAAGGCAGCTTCTTGCAGAAGTTCAGGATCTCTGCAGTCTCCGCTTTCACTTCAATATCCCCTGTTGGCATTTTCTGAAGCAAAAAGGCAAGAAAAAAATTGAACCTCAAAACAATTGGACAAAGGTATTTCACAGATGGTCGAAGGGAAAAAAGAAACCATGTGATTATCTTCCCTGCCTTCTAACACAGTATATAACTCAGAGAGCTTCTCTCAAGGAAAGATTTCTCCTAGGTTTCCCTTCTGCTCAGAAAAACACAAGTCACCTCACCAAAGATGGCAGGTTCTTTCCCAGGAGCATACTGGTCTCTCCAAGAAACACAATTACTTTTCCTGTGCCTTCTCCTCAAAGGACATGCTGAGCAGAGGGAAGTCAGGCTCAGCCCTTTCTAGGGCACACACATTTGAACAAAATACAACCAATCAGTACCGTTAACCTCAGAAGAACCCCACAATGTGTGTTTCAGTGTACAATAGCAGCAGCCCTTAATACAAGCCAAAAAAGGCAAATTGTGAGGAACTTCTCAGAACTTCCAGTTCTGAACACCAGTTCTCAGAACTAGTCTTCTCTTTCTTCGATCCCAAGGGAGAGCAGGCAGCTTCCCTCACGTAGCACTGAGGCACAGCAAAGTTCATTTGATCCTGCAGAACTCTTGCTATTTACCAGGAGAAAGTACATACAACCTTCCAACAAAATGATACGTGAATAAAAGAAATAAAGGCATTGCTTGAAGCCTGCATGCTTCATGGACATCTACAAGTGGTCAGAGCAAAACGTTATGATCATAAATCTAGATTCTCTTTTTAGACCATGGTGATATGTACAATCCTGACAGATTAACCAACAGCTGATTACGATGAGAGCTGAGGAATACACAACATTAAAAAATTAATCAGCCTCTGTTGAGGTTGAATGAGAACAGCAAAATCTATTCTGAGTAAGAAACAGGTAATCACACACTGTGGAACTTGCAACGACAGTATTTATTTTTAAGAAAGTTCTCACTCACTCTGAAAGCCTAGAAAAGCCAGCCATCATCCTTGCAAAGAGCTGGGATGCAGTTTAATTTGTGGGTGCCTGCAATGTGCTCTGAGGCGCTCCTAAGTTACAAGTCATAGCAGCTATTTCACCTCACATTATCCGAGGATAGGCTGTCACACACCTAGAACCCATGGCAACGCTATGACACAAACACAACCATAAGAGAAGACATCCAGTGTTCTTTTCCACAAGGAAGAAAACCCCTGAGAGACCCCACCATCCTCACCGGATTCTCCTGCCCCGGCGGCCGAGGGGACACGATTCCAGTCACTCTCACCACAGACTCCACTGGGGCATTAGACAGGAGCTTCTTCACATGGGAATGTGCCTGCAAGGAGATGTCAAAGTCTCACAGAAATTCAAAGGACAGGGCAAATGCACCTCATTTCTTGACGGCCCATTTGAATCTAAAATCACTCTCCAGCCAGGGGAAACAGCACTAATGTTTCTGTTGCACTTAAACCTCCTTGTGAGTCTGGGTCTGACCAAGCACTTGGTTCTGCTGCCCTGTGTCTGCTGGACCCAAGCTATCAAAGGGAAAACAAAAACACAGACTCACATTGTGTTAGCACTTACCTCATCCTGTGGAATGATGATCTGGGTCAGTCCCTGGAAATCCCTCAAAACCAGAAACAGGCCCTGTCTGATCCATGAAAAACACAAAAGGGAAAACAGTTTTTTCACAAATTTAGTAGTTTCTACTTTTTAAAGCACGTGGCAACAGGCTGCTTTCTGAACCTTGTGACTCATCTCAAAGCACTTCCAGGTGCTCAACATACAGACACTTTTCCCACACCTGAACCCAACTTGAACAAATTGTTTCAGATTGTGACCAGCCACAAACAATGTGTAAATAACCAGGAGAGGCAGGATTTTAACTTGAACATTAATCCACATTGAGCAAGGATTCCAGACACGTGCATTTTCCTGCTGGGAAACATCATTCAGCTAAACACAATTAAATGAGCAATAAAGCTAAAGGTCACATGGATTTTAAAAAAAAAAAATCCAATCATAAGGCAAGAAGGTCCCATAAAAAGTTCCACACTGCTAAACCCAGAATCATAAATCTCTTCAGCTACAGCAGAGATAGCTGCCATTGTACTTTATCAAAAAACTGTCAAATGGAAAATGCTCTGGCTGTCCTTAAAAACAAGATCACAACAATCACATTACAATAATCCTAATTCTGTTTCCTGGATCCCCATCTACAATTGTTCAAAGATGAGATGCTTGGGACCTCCTAAAATAATAAAAAAAAATAAAATCCATGCAGATCATCACTGGAGGACAATGCTGGACAAAAACCAGTCTCTCTGGGCTGTGAAATGCAAAAAGGCAACTTCTGACAAATTAACTTCATCCAAGCCACAGGATCTATCTCCATGGCACAAGCACACAGCCACGAACAGGACATTTTGGGGCACTGTCCACATTTTTCACCTGACATTTATAAAATGTTCAACTCCATTAGGAGAGATTATATCACACCACCTACAGCAAACTATTGGAATTCACATTCCAATAGTTTACTCTGTTTACTACCTCTTCTTAATACTTTTTAAGAAAATCTTGCATTCTTTAAATATGCTTCATTAGATGCTGGGATTGAAAAGACAAACATCATCATTTGCTTGAAATTTAAGGAATCTATATAAAAGAAGCTGTAGAATCATGGAATGGTTTGGGTTGGAAAGGACCTTAAAGTTCATCTCATTCCAACCCCCTGCCATGGGCAGGGAGATCTCCCACTATCCCAGGTTGCTCAGAGCCCCATCCAGCCTGGCCTTGGACACTTCCAGGAATGGGGCTTCTCTGGGCAACCTGTGCCAGGGCCTCCCCACCCTCACAGGGAAGTTATTTGCTCACTGCTGTAAGAATTGCTATAAATAAGCTATTTCTTCATTTCCCTCCTATACAACAACAATAATTCTTTACTGCTTTACAGTGTTGCAGTGAGGATAAATTAATATCTGTATCTAACTCTGAAAATTGAAATACTGATCTGACTTTTTTCTCAACTGGTTTAATCACTTCAAAGGGGAGCACGGTAGGACACGAAAAGATAACCTGAAGCATAAAAAGTAGGGTGTGAATCCAGCCCTAGAGCATACACTGGACAAATAATCACCTCCATTTTCACTGTGGTTTGCATTTACCTTTGGTACTGAATCCATCCATACAGGGTCACCTTCTGTCCCACGTGAGCTGAACGCAGCTCTCCACACGTGTTGGTCCGAACGACAAAACTGTTGAAGTCTCGAATAAAAATAACAAAACCTCTCATGGCTTTTGCAGACGAGTGAGACAGAATAGTCAGACAGCTTCCCCTCCCAAAACAATTCAGACATATACAGAGAAATTACTGCATATATATCTGCAATAAGATACCAAGACATAAATATTAAGTGAGGCTAGTCCAAACGTATTTTAAATGGGATTATTTCTGTTTCTCAGTCAAACTTTCATACAGAAATCTGAACACAGCCTTGCTGCAAACTGTTGCCCTGCAAAGTTCAGGCACGAGAGAAGGAAGAGCCACAGACAGATCAGTCCTGAGGGATGCTGCCAATTCCACATTCAAATACAGAATAACAGAACAGTTTGGGATAATGTTAAAGATCATTTAGTTCCAATCCCCTGTCTAGTGGGACACCTTCCACTAGCCCAGGTTGCTCAGAGCCCCATCCAGCCTGGCCTTGAACACTTCCAGGGATGGGGCAGCCACAGCTTCTCTGGGCAACCTGTGCCAGGGCCTCACCACCCTCAAAGGCAGGAATTTTTTCCTACTACCTAATCTAAACCTGCCCCTTGTGCTGCCACTGCAGCTCCTGATGAAGAGAAGACACAGCACCAAGGGGGCTTGACAAGCCAAGACTGAAACACGCATGAACCAGACACCCACTGTGCCCGTGTAAATTGAAGTTTCCTGCCTGCAACTACTGGGAAAAGGCCTGAACCAGGATTACAGAAGGCCTTGCACAGCCCCCAGTGTGCCTGTAACCACGGCTTAAGGCATAAAACCAAGCACACTGTTTACAGAATGCAAAAGAGGTCCTGCTCGCAAGAAGCAAGAAGTCGGAAGGATGCCATTACCTAGACTATATAAATAATCACATGAGCCAATCTTGCTGCCTCCATCGCAGCCTTTACAATTAAAAGCAAAGGAGGGTTTGTTTGCCAGCTATTACCTCAGGCATTCAGCCACCCCTGCTGTTTACAAACTGCTTGCTGTAGAGGATAGGGGGTCAAAACCAAAGTAAAAGCTCAGAAAAAAAAACTAGACTTAATTGGTCTTGATGTACTTGGAATCGCGATTCACGTTACGACGCCAAAACTCAAACAGAAACACGATTTAGAGAAGACACTTACTAAAGCGATACAGGCAAAATAACTTATCGCAAGTGTGATATTAAACGAGTGTGTGGACTACCCTGACCTGTGTCCCGGGGAGAAAAAGCACATTGAAACTCCCCGAGGGGAGAAAAGGACACCCCAAACCTCCGGGATGAGACAAGCGCTCCTTCCTCACCTGGTGCCGCGGGAGCAGAGACAGCGGCCGCCCGGTGCAGCGCCCGCGCCAGCAGCCGGGGAAGGGCCATCCCGCGGCTGCACCTGAGCCAGAAACACGGGAGCACCGCCACGGGCCTGCGGGAGGCTTTAAATAAGGACACGGGAGGGGAAACCACCCCAGCACCGCCGCCTCCTCCCACCCTCCCTCCCTCCTGCCCGAACCAAAGATGGCGGCGGGGGCGCGCCCCGCGCGCGCGGGGGCTGACGGGAGGCGGGTTCGAACGCGGCGGCGGCGGCCATGGCGGCCATGGCGGGTGGAGTCTGCGGAGGACGGGGCGGCGCGGACCCTGCCCAGCCTCGGGCGCCTCTCCCGGGGCCTGCCCTTCGGACGGGCCTACGGTCGCCTCGGCAACAGCCCCAGCGGCCGCCTCATCCTGCCGGCGCCGCTCTCACAGGTACGGCCGGGCCGCTGAGGCGGGGAAGCGGCGGCGGCGGCACCTCCCCGTCTCCCCCGCTTCCCCTCCCTTGTGCCCTCAGCCGCGCTGCCCCGCTCGCGAAACGCATTTTAACGGCATTGCCTTTTTTTCTCTCCTGCCCTAGGAAAGCGGGGATCCGCAGAGAACAGCGCTCCTCCTGCGCAAAGCCTGGACGCTGTACAGCGTGACCCCCCTGTACCGCTTCTGCCGCGGCCGCCTCAGGGACTACGCGCGGCTACTGGGCGCCTTCATCGCCGCCGAGAGGCAGAAGGGGCTGGCGGTGGAGGTGGGCGTCGAGCTGGACATCAAAGTGGCTCTGTCCAGCCTGCCCGAGCTCCAGGGCAGCGAGCAGGACCAGCCTGCCGTCCTTGTGCAGGTAAGGAGCCCGCCCGGCGGCTTTGGTGATCGAGGTTTGCGTGCCACGAGTTGTCTTTACCGTCGTGAAACCCTCTCTAAAAAAAAAGAAACCACCGGAAAACTTAACTCCTAGCTGTATGGACTAACTACTGTAGCATCCACTGAGATTGAATGAAACTGAGTCCCGTCTATTTTTTTAAATGGAACAGAGCGTCGCAGTCTTAAGCTGCGCCAGGGTTGGACACTAGGAGGAATTTCTTCACATAAAAGGGGATTAGACATTTGAACGGGCTGCCCAGGACAGTGGTGGAGTCACTGTCCTTGCAGGTGTTTAAGGAGAGACTGGACGTGGTCTAGTTGACAAGGTGGTGTTCAGACACAGGTTGGACTCAGTGATCTCAGAGGTCTTTTCCAACCCAATTGATCCTGTGGTTCTGTGATCTCCTAAGCAACGCATACAGTTAATTGCAACTTTAAGTTCAACTCCTCAACAGGATCAGAGCAAGACTATACAGAGCAATCTTTGTCTTATGTTTTAGTTCAGCGGTCAATTTACTGCCAGAACTCGGGTTATTTAGTGTCCTGGATAAAGCTGATATAATCCCTCCTGGCCACAGCTCAAGTCTAATTAATATTTCTGAAATGCTTTGCCCCAAGTCAAATGGGCTACTGAAATGTCAAGTTCATTGTGGCAGTGCTTGTAGGATGTACCATGGATTGCCTCTTTGGAATTAAGCATCATAAACTCATATTGCAGCACTGTTCCTAAGGAAGTTAAAAATACTTTTTCCACTGTTTTCAACATAACTGCACTCAACTTTCAGGGATGTTGCATGCGAGATCCTGAGAAAAAAACTTTTACCAAACACTTGAAACTGTAAAACTGTTTTTGGCTAAAAAAAAAAAGTCATACTTGCTCTGTAGCATTCAAATGCTTCTTCTCCCCATCCCAGCTTTCTTCAAGGTCACGAGCTTCCCCCAAAAACTCAGAAGACAAGATCCTGTGGTCGGGCTGTTTCTGCTGCGTGTATGGAGATGATCTTTCCGAGAACATGCCAGAGGACTTCACCTGTTTACCTCTGTTCCTGGCGAACGGGGCGGAGAGTTACATGTCTGTTGTTGGAAACTGGTTCCAGAAGACTTTTGACTGCATCTTCCGCCGTCTGGCCATCAGCCCCTTCAGCCTCACCTGGATGGTGGCCATGTGGACTGGGTGCAAAGTGGACAAAGCTACCTCTGCCGTGGAACTCGTCTTCTCTGTCCCCCGCCTGCCCCAGCCTCTGGATATCTCATATGCCATCCACCCAGAGGATGCTAAAGCCCTGTGGGACACCATCCAAAAAACTCCGGGGGAGATCACTCAGGAAGAAGTGGATGTCTTCATGGACTGCCTTTACTCCCACTTCCACAGGCACTTTAAGATCCACCTGTCAGCCACAAAACTGGTGAAGGTTTCTACAGCGATTGCCTCGGCACACTGTGATGGGATTGTTAAGGTGAGGCTTTAAGGAGCAGGTTGTCCTAATGCTGGCCAAATAAAATAGCTGTACCTGAAGGTTTCACATTTCTTTTGCATGATTTCCTACAAGAAGTTGCTAAGCTCTTAAGCTTTTACTAGTCATACTCAGTTCTGAAGTTGGGACAGCTGTCAGTATTTTACTACTGTGTTGCAGCAGAAACTACTAGTCTTGGAACAGAAATAGGTGTGTTAGCTGTGGTATGAACAGGAAAGTTTCTTTGGCTATAAAGAACTTTTTTTGGACTTAAAAAGATACCAGATTTAATCCAAAACCTTTAAAAAAAGTTCACTAGCTTTCTAATATTGTAGTAGTTATTAAGACACAGACAGAAGACTCCTTCACGTGTAACCCTTTTCATAAAGATGCTGGTCTTCCTATAGATATCCACATAATATCCTTCAAACCATTGAGAATAAATCCTTGGCAATAATTTCTTCTGAGTTAAAGAACAGTTTGTGTAAATGCAGTTGTTTGAACTTAGCCTGTCTATGATGTGCTCTTGGTAGGGCAACTGCAAACCACTGAATGTTAGAATGTTAGTGTTACATTGCTTGTAACTGTAGTAGCTTAAAAGTGGCTGAAACAACTTTTTATGTTGCAGGCAGGTAAACACAAGATATCTCAGGCTTTCTGTAGAAGGGTGCTCTTGTGGAATGGGTGTTGTGTAAATTCAGTCATGGCTTTTCATAATGGGAATAGAGTTCACATCATATATATTCAGGGAAAATAGGGTGATCCTGGGATACCTTGCAAACAGCAACAGAGCAGCTGACTCAGCACAGGGAGCACTTGGCTCCAAGCCTTTGAGGGTGTGGAAATCTGGCAATGGCAGGTTTTTTTATCATGCCTTTTTTTTTCCTTGCAGATGCTACACAGCCAATATCTCTCTGGAGTGCTGATGCTACTGACAGAACTTGCAATCTCTCAGATACAGTGAGAGCCATTTCAGCGACTCTTCATGCTACAAAGGCTTCCTGTCGAACGATGTATGCTGGGAAACCAACAGGAAACTCACTCCTGCAGCATCTTCTTTCCCCTCATGTTGGTTGTCCAAAGCTGGACTGTACCTCCTGCACTTGGCTCCATAACAAGCTGTAACTCCATGCCATGCACAGCCAAGACAAGCAGACGTTTTTCCCTGAAGAAGGGCTGCAGTACAAACTTGTAATAGTTCCTGAGCACCTTTGTTTTATCAGAGTCACTCTGTTCATTTATGTTTAGGAGACAAACTCTGCAAATTCTTGATGCAACTTACTGACAGGTGTTTCTGTTGTTTCAAAGGGCAAGTTGGTTTTCTCTTACCTAGACAGCCAAAGCTACACAGACCTTAGCCTTAGCTAAACTGTGATTACTCTTGGGCTAGTCTAAATGCAAAGTTCAGCACACCTGGAAAAGGGTGAATGCTCTCCAATCCAGGACAGAAAAATCCAGGTTTCTAGCTCCCTTTGTAGGCCACTTGGCCATAGTAATAGCATTCATATACATTCCAGTTGTCTAAGACTAACAGCTGCCTTGTGTCCAGCCTGTTGGTCCTCTCAGATGAATTAATACATAGGAAAGTGAGGTCTGTAGATAGGCTTTGCATGGTGTTTGTATCTTGGATGTGATCCTGTAGGCCAGAGAGCTCTCAGGGTTAGAGTTGTGTGCTAAAATTTTATATTGGATCTCTCTCTTCCAGAGCAGGTAAGAGTTCACAGGACTAGTGCACAGTGCCTAGCTAGAGATTAAAGGGGCAGAAAGGAAGCAGTACCTGCTAAGTCTTAGGATTTTTGTAATATAGTACTAAAGAAATAAAATATTTTCCATCTTTTGCACATAGACTGGTCTTAAGGAAAGACCACCTATGCCTAATTAAATATATCCTTGCATGGTGCTTATTTCCAACTATAGCTTACCTGACTAAACCACCACTTGTTACCTATTAAATAATTTTGTGAGCAGCAAAATTTCAAGTCTAGTTTCTTGCTTCACACTTGTGCAGCATCTCCAGGCGCTGATGATTTGTGCTGTGACCTTCTCCCTAAATAGGGGTGCAAGTTTCCTTTCTTTTCCCAGTGTAAAACTGCCTCACATGACATAACTGCATGCCTAGTTCCTAACCTATTTCCAGAATTAGACAAAGAAACATGCACTTGTTTTTAGATTCTTTACTAAAGGAAGATGGATTATTTTTTGCATGTCAAGGCTGCAGCCTGTGGTAACTCTTACCCTGGTCGAAGCAGCTAAATGATCTTCTGAAGATCTTGACAGCTCAGCAGCTGCTTAAACTATCACTTCTGGTGCTTTAGTTTCGTTCTTATGAAATATCTTAGACAAAGTTTGCTATCTGGAGTCAGAAGAGCACTGGACAAAGGAGTACAAGGTGTCACAATAACTGGCACCTGTATCTGATTTGAAAACGGAACTGTTACACCCAGGGTTTAGTTTTAAATCTAATGCTCAGCTCTTTCCAGTGAATTTGGATAAAAAAGCTCTAAAACCCCTAAATTGTCTATAGCCTCTTTTAACCTCTTTTAACCTTGTCTTGTCCTCATTGATAACTGCAGTTCAAAGAGCAGAGAGAGATTTAGCCAGATATTTAGCACAGATGCTTCCTTCCAGAAAAAAAGCATTGATGTGCTTCTAATTGAAGGGTAACACTAAACAGGAGAGGTTTAAGTCCATTTTACTTGGACTGGTATTTGGAAAAAAGACACCAGCATCTGTGTCCACATAAACCATACCCCACTGCTTTCACCCCAAGGAACAAACCAAGAACAGCATAAAAGAAATTTATTAAGATAGCACTATTTATACAAGTTACTCATGCTAGAAAAAAGCATAAATGATACATGTAAACATTTGTTTACAGAATACTTGTTTTCCTTGTAAAGGTGCAAATGATCTTCAATGTAAACACAAGAATACCGACCTTTAGGGGGAAAGGGGCTTTTAAAAATAGGTTTAATGACCCATTTATGACTGTAGTGTAATTTTTACTATATTCAAGCACATTAAAGTCTGAGTTACATGAATCAAACTATGAAGTTAAAGAACTTAAAATGTCAGCACTGCCTTTTTCCATCTCAAGAATTTACAGTCCTCCTACTCTTTTAAACCCAGATTTAGTTAAAGTCCACAGTTAGATCAGGTGCAAAAGGTCATTCTTTCATACTCAATAGAAATTACAGTACAAACAGAACTGTTGAGTCTAGAGTTCCTCCTTCCTCTACCCCCACCCCTGGGTGCCTCCAGTCACTCACAGTTCCAGCAAACAGTCCTTCCCCTCCAAAATCTAATGAGCCTCACATACCTTTCCCTGCTCTAACTACGCACAGGCAAAGTGCACAAAAATCACTAAAAGGGAGGGCACCATCTCATCATGGTCTGGAATTCTAAAGACACAGACAAGAGGGCAGCTGAGGTGGTGCTGGTCTAAGCCTTTTTCAGCAGGCAGGAGCTGGCTGCAGGTCTGCCCTTCCAGCAAGAGCACAAGAAGGGAATGTCGGAATTAACATACACCTGCACCTCAGCTTCAGACAAGAACTGATATCTAGCAGGCAACAGGAGGAAAAAGGCTTTTGTAAGTGAGCAGATATTTCAAGGTTCACATACAGGGGAGTGGAGAGACAAAAGCTGAACTTTTGTACCATACACTGTACAGTAAAAAGGCATCGTTTGAAATCCTTTCCCCCCTCTCACCCATTTTTGGGCACTTCACTGATTCAGTCAATAGATGAGAGTTCCAGTTCTACTTCTTGCCTCCAGCAAGAGTTGAAAAATACTCAGGGCACCCATCCTCACAGCTCTCCTGTACTCTATGAGACCCTAAATCATACCACAAGGGTTGGAACCACAACAGCTGGCAGGACGTGGCCCTGCCCAAACCACCAGCTGGTCGAAACGCAAATCACACATATATACATATATATATAAAATACATATATATATATATATATGCACACATATATATGTATATAAAAAGCTGGAACTATCGCTGTGAGCGACTCAAAGAAAATACATGATACAAATTAAATGAAAAAATAAATATACTCTGTGCACAGAAAAGCTTCTGTGCAAAAGGTGGCACCTTGCAGGTCAAGTACTTTTTTTTGAAGCTCTCTGTAAATAAGGCAAAAGCAATGTTTTCTGTATCACGTTTCTCTTTCGCCCACCAAGCAGCTGCCACATCCACTGCTCACACAGCAGGAGGGAAAGCAGGAAACCCTCCTCCCTTGCCAGACTCCCAGTACAGCACGTAGTCTCTACGTCAGCATCGTTTACGCTACAATAACTGTTACAGTTTGGTTTATTCAAAAAATGTAGACTATTTAGAAAAAATACGGACATAAGCAACACTTCTACTTTTGTCCAGTGGTTCCCTGGAGTCTGACAACGTGGTCTCCCGTTGGGCACACTCTCACAGAAGTCATTTTTGTAATTCCATAGAAAGAGTCACCGGCTCAAAGAGTTACATTGGATCTAGACCGTGCATACTAGAGCTGCAAAGAGGTCCAGTGTCAACAAGTCTCTTCAGTTTTTCTAGGAATGAGAACCAAGGGGACTCCCTCCCGCTGGATGCTTACCATATATGGGATTCACAGTGTGTCATTTTGATAACTCCTACGCCTCCTCCCAGCCGCCGGTAGTTCATCCCGCCGTACAACCTGCAAGGACAAGGGTTTGGGGTCACACTGGTTCACATCCCTCATGGAGACACCATGGGCACCAGCCCTTGGGAGCATTTGGAGCTATCATGGTAAAAAAAAACCCAACCAGCCCCGGTGAGCACACTTAGACCATCACCAATTTAAAGTAGACCATGAAGAAGCTGGGTAGCACATCTCACACACTTCCAAGGTAAACAGCTGTATTTTCTCAGGCCTTTCTCTCTCAAAACAGAAACTGCTTCCCCTTTTGACACCAGATTTGTGTTACTCAAGTAATGACTTCTTTCTCCCTGTCTGAATACACAAGAAAACAACTTTGCAGGCTGTAGCTGATCTTGGGCTACATTTTGGGTAACACAGGAGCAAGAGTAGGTTTGCTCCTCACAATTCAACTACTTTTATTTCTAATTATTTTAGTAATTTTATATTCTAATACCCTAAATTCAGCTGATTCAACCAAGATGTAATGCATCCCAAGCACCACCTGTTTACTGAAATGGTGCCTGCATTTCATATGGCTATCTGATCCCTGTAGACTCCAGCATCCTAATCACTTCAGCTGCATATTCCCATGGCTCAACAAACAAGGAGACATTCCTCCAGTGCTGCTTGCAACAGCCCTTCTCAGCAGGAAAGAGTTAAACTACTATTACTAGTAGGAATAAAGACATTAATTTCTCTGTATTCCCCACTCCTGCCAGATTACTACAGCAGCAAGAACACCCATATAAGTTTGAAACTAATTAGACTTGGGAATAAATACACAATCACTTGCTTTCAAGTATAGTTATGACTACAAAGGCTACTTTTCCTATTTTCTGCTCAGTATATATTTTGGATCAGCAACTTAATATTATTTCTCTCAGCTTATACACCAGATGAAATTCTTCCAATTGCTGTCTTGCAGACTTAAGGGGATAAACATCAGAACTTCCCAGTGTTCTGTTTGAGCTCCTCCAAAAGGATTTGGAAATCACAGCCTCAGCCTGAAAGCAAAATCTTAGTAGGCCAAATTCTACATCATGGCTGTGAGTTCCTTCTGCTAAGGGCAAGCTTAGTTTTATTGGGAAGCAGGAGAGATTCAGCCCAAAACAAAGACAGGGGAATATCGTGATACTTTTCAAAATGTGATTCTTTCTTACACTTCCATGCAAGGCAAGAGCCACAATGTGAGTGTTGTGCTGGCTCTACCACACCTGAGTTCTTCACTGTGGTGTGCATCACCTTTCTAGTTTGGCTGGGACAGCTCCAGCTGGGTGGCAGCAGCTCCAGCTGGATTTCACTACTGGCTTGTTTCCCAAACCCCACAGTTACCTCCACGTGTTAGCATCTGGATCGAACACCTCGATGGTCTTCAAGTACGTCGTGCCATCAAACCCCCCCACTGCCATCAGCTGCCCGTTCACCACGGCGAGCCCAACCTGCAAGACAGCCATCACAGACAGCAGCTACTTAGCTGGGATGTCCTGAAAAGAAGGGCTAAAATGAAAACATCAATAGAAGGATTTAATAACCATGTTTGGTGAAAGGCAGTCTGCAGGAGAGGGTTGGGGTATTTTTCTTTAGGGTGTGGCAGAAATAAAATAACCTAAAAAATGAGACATGGAAAGTTAAATATATATCTCAAACTAGACAATCTCTTAAAGAAAAAAGCAGAAGGTTCCCCCTATTGACAGCTACAAGAAGTAGAACCATTTGAATGATAATAGATACATGAGAATCTAAACCTTTTTCATCCAAAACTTATGTTCTGGATTGAAATTCTTCCTCAAGTGTGACTTGCTGTGACTTCCAGCCCACAGCCTGGAACACTTACTTAAAGTAGAAGAAACACAGGTAAGCCCCTGGTCCCAAACCTCCCAGGCTGGGGGTTGGACCACCTGTAAATCAGCTTGGCCCCCAGCCTTTCTGCTTAGCCATTTTGCAGAAGCACAAAATCACTGAAATGTCAAACAGATGATCACTTCCAGCAGCAAACATGTAGTATAACAGAGAAAGAGCAGGAACACAATGTAAAATGGTCCTCGTTTTGGCTTTGAGGAAGTCAGGAGACTCAGGAGGGCTGCAGATACAGATGCCTCTGTTAAGCAGTTTCTACAGAAAGCAAATATAGAAGCAGCTGATAAAAAGTCAGTGTCTAATCAGTAACTAAAACGAACAGTGTTGGACAGCGTACCATGTAATTTGACGACAAATAAAAACGTGTTCTCTGCCTCCAAAACCAGTAGTTCCTCAAATTATTTCATACTTGCCTCACCAGGCACTGAAATACTAACATACAGATAGAACTAATCCATTCTTTACTATATAATCCAATATCCAGTGATAAATATTCATAACATTTGCATGTGCCCAAACACGATGACTACTTAAAACGCTGTGCTAATCTTTCGTTCACAAGTCTGCAGAAAGGACCGAGATTAGCAGTTGATGAGAACATGCTGTCACTCTCCATATTCATAGGACTCAGCGAAGAGAGGCAACAAAGTAAGTGAAAGCCTGGAAACCCTGTTCCCACACACACACCTCATGGCAATGAAAAAACTTGGAAGGCTGGTAAATTTGTATCTAAATACAAGCTTACCCAATTCCCCAGCTTTTTCCTGGGAAAGCGCGTATTTTCAGAGGGAAAAAAACCCCACAAGCTGACACTCTACCCCTGTGCTCTCACCACATGACTGTGTGTGGTATGGACAAGCAAACCAAGCCAAACTCACTCCGCTCCGGCGGGATGTCATGGCCACAACAGGAGACCACTGGTTGGTCCGAGGGTTGTATCTCTCAGCACTGCTGAGCTCTGTTGTATCATCCCTGCCTCCCACAGCATAGATCATGTCCTGGTACACTGCA